AACTGTGAAAGCTGTGTTGGGGTGCGTTCTCTCCTCCAAACTAGGCGTCAAGGGCCTTGCTGGACGATCACAGCCAAGGCCTTGCATATAGCCGTTTGGAGATGGATTCCCAAAGAGGGGGAGGGGGAGTCACCGGTTGTCGATCAGAAGGAGTCACCTATTGGAGAGCCGGTGTTGGGTGGAATGTAGCAGCGCTCAAAAAGGTGAAGGAGGACGGCGAACCTTGAGAGAAGGGGTCCTCAGAATGAGGAATCTCCCCTCCCGGGTTTCGGCACCAATGAAAAGCCAAGGTTTGTCATCGGAGATTAAAATGCACACACAGATAACAGTGACAAAGATGAAGCACTTTATTGTAAGCTGGTGCTAGCTTAGATAGAAAGTGAGAGTCAGTTATCTTAAACCAGGAAGCCCCCAGGGCCAGTCATAGTAAAGGTCAGGTCATCACCTACGGTGCCCGCACGTCTGCCCTGCATGAGATTCATGGGGGCACGAGCTGTCCACGGGCACGGAAGACGGGAGGACCAATTAGAAAACTTTCAAAACAACTTGTTATCCGCCCACTGGCAATCTGCCTGCCGCCATGTTACATTAGGGGCTCCTTACCTGAAAGGCCCAGGGAGTTCTCAGGGAGACTCCCAACAGACACCCCCCAGCCCTCCTGCACTTTCCATCACTCTCTGTATCTACCCCCCCACACACACACACTTTGGTTTTTAAAATTTATTCTCCAAATCCCAACAAAGCATCTGACTGCCACGTCAGGGAGTGAGGAGGGCCATCCTTGAAGGAAGTGGGTGATGCCACCTTTGCCAGGCCTCCCTGGCTCTGGTCCCACCCCTGCCCTGCCTGCCAGGCCAAGTCTATAAAAACCCAAGTCCTCCCCTAACTGCACGACCAGGCTGAGAGGCAGCACCATGCAGCTGAGTTTTAGTGGCATGCGGGCTCTGGTGACAGGGGCAGGGAAAGGTAAGTGAGCCAGTGTGTGAGTGCTAGGTGCTGGGGAGAACAGGGCCACCAGACACCAAGCCACATAGAGGCCCGTGGTGACCTTGTCACAGCTCACCCTCCAGCACCTGACTGCACCCACCCCGGGCTGGAGTCCCTCCCCAGCCCACATAGACGGGAGAGCTCACCCTGGCCTCAGCCCAGACCCAGGCTGGCAGATGGGGGTCCAGCTACAGCCTTCTCCCTTGGGCCTAGTGGGAGGGAGCTGCCCTGGGCCTGACTCGGGTCAGTCCCTGCTCCACTTCATCCTGGCCCACTGCCCTCTGACCAGCATCACCTCCCTGCTCATTCCAGGACAGGAGGGGCTGCAACTCTCCCTTGCACCTGCTCCCCTCACCCCAGCCCTGACCAGGTGTGTAGGGCCACCTCTCCACTGAATCCCATCCTGCAGGGATTGGACGGGACACTGTGAAGGCCCTGCATGCCTCAGGAGCCAGAGTGGTGGCTGTGAGCCGCACCAACGCTGATCTGGTCAGCCTATCCAAAGAGGTGAGGCTCACAGCCCTGCTGGGACCAGGCCTGCCCTCCACACCCTCAGGGATGCCACAGGAGCCTGCTGGGACCACCCACAGGCCTCCATGCATCGTCTCCCACAGTGTCCTGGAGTGGAGCCCTTGTGTATGGACCTGGGAGACTGGGAGGCCACCGAGCGGGCGCTGGGCGGTGTGGGCCCTGTGGACCTGCTGGTGAACAATGCTGCTGTGGCCCTGGTGCAGCCCTTCTTGGAGGTCACCAAGGAGGCCTTTGACAGGTAGGAGGTGGGAAGAGCGCTTTGGCTGGGAGAGGACACCTAGCACAGGTGGGCAGAGCCTGGTCCCTCTCTCCTGCCAGGTCCTTCAATGTGAATCTGCGTTCTGTGTTCCAGGTGTCTCAGGTGAGCCTGCGGGAGGTGTGAGCCAGTCACGGGGTGGGTGGGTAGGGTGAGGTGAGCTGCCCCACTCTTGGCTTACAGATCGTGGCCCGAGGCATGATAGGCCGGGGAGTGCCAGGATCCATTGTGAACGTCTCCAGCATAGTGGCCTACGTCCCTTTCCCCAGCCTGGCTGTCTACAGTGAGTGCAGAGCCCCTGGCTCTGGGGCTGGGCCTCCCTGGAAGGAGGGCTCAGTCCCTCAGGGGTTCTCAATGCTGTCCCCGTGCAGGCTCCACCAAGGGTGCAATGACCATGTTGACCAAAGCCATGGCCATGGAGCTAGGGCCATACAAGGTGAGCCAACGAATGGGGACTGAGGGCCAAGCCTGAGGGGGCACTAGAGGGACACAGAGGTCGTGGGTGAAGGGGCAGGGTTAGTAACCACCAGCTGAGGTGGCCACCTCTGGTCCCTGGTCCCAGATCAGAGTGAACTCGGTGAATCCCACGGTGGTTCTGACGGCCATGGGCAAGAAAGTCTCAGCTGAACCTGAGTTCTCCCGAAAGCTGAAGGAGCGCCACCCACTGAGGAAGTTTGCAGGTCTGGGAGGCAGGCGCGGGTGGGGCGTGTCGGACGGCTGAGTCGGACATACTGACCGGTCGGGCGCCCCGCAGAGGTGGAGGACGTAGTGAACAGCATCCTCTTCCTGCTCAGCGACGGTAGCGCCTCTACCAGCGGCTCGAGCATCTTGGTGGACGCCGGCTACCTGGTCTCCTAGAGCAAGCCAGCTGGCGGGGCCACCCGCTGGCTGGGCTGTCCGGCTCGCCCCTCCCAGGCCCGGCTCTTGGCCCCGCCCCGCGCAAGCCCCGCCTCCACATCACGGCCCATCCCATCTCCACGCCCGCCACCGCGCACGTCGAGGGGGGCACCACGCCCAGCCCTCCCCACCTTTTTGCTCCCGCCCCTGTTAAGCCCCACCTTCAACCTACGCCCCGCCCACGCCCTGCCCCTAGCCACGCCCCGCTCTCGGCCCAACACCCCCCCACACGTCTCCCAGTCCTGGCCCACTGCGCGCCACGGTGCCGGCCCCACAGACCACCGCATCCCGAGCCCTCATGCCCACCGCTGCCTCTTTGTCTAAATAAATAAATGGACGCTATTTTCCCGGAACCAGCGCTCTGGGTGGGCGCGTTGCGACGCTGGGCGGGGGGAACAGTGACCGCACGCCCTGAAAGCTGCTGACCCCGCCTCGTGGCCAAAGGGCTGCGGTTCTTTCGCAAGGAAGACACCCCTTCCCGCATGCTCATCCAGCCCAGGGCAGAGGCAAAAGGCAGGGAGCAGCCTGCAGCGACCTCCCTCCCCTGCGGCTCACCCAGGGTGCAGGGGAGGGGAGAGGTGCTGGACGCGGGAGGACGCTCGGCCAGAGGAGCTCAGCGTTCAGAGGCAGCGGGGCGGGCGGTGGATCAAGTCTGTCCATCCTCTCCCTGGGACGCCCGACCCGCTCCGGGCACACCTCCCGCCAAGAACACCGGAAGAGGGCGCCCAAGCGCGCTCGCCCTATCTGCTCTACTGACCGTCAGGCGGAATCAAGCCCAGCAGCCCTGCCATGCAGGGCTGGCCAGAGCGGCTTGCAGGCCCTGTGGGGTTTCAGCTGTGCTGGCCCGGTACACGGCCCGGGCATTTTGGAGACACTGGCACAACGTCCAGCCCTGGGCAAGGAAGCAGAGAACGAGGGGCTGGGGCTGAGACGTCTAGGCAAGTGGCTGGGAGGGCACGGTGGGGTGGGAGTCGCGGGAGGGTACTTCTGACTGGTAACAGCATGGTCTGAGCTGAAGCTTACTTTGGCCTGTTTGGCCAAGGATCCCAGGACAATTGATACAACTGATGAGATCCGGACACTGTGCAGGGGGCAAGGCCCAACCACTGAAAGGATATGAGCAGAGGTGCCTCTGAGGAAGGACCATTTAGGGGCTGTCCCTCCCTTGGTCTCTGGCAGGCAGAGGGCATGGTCCAAGGTTAGGGACAGAGGCAGATATTACAGGGACCTTACAGGGGGTGATGAGCAGGCTAAAAGCCAGGCCTGTGGGGAGAGTGTACTTGACCATCTTCCAGGGTCTCTCAAATCTGTGTTCCATATTTGATGTCAATTTTTTACCTTCTAAAAATTCACTTTCTTACCTATTTTTTTTTAAAAAAATCTGAGCATCCTGCTTCACCTGGCCATCCTTGCCTCCATCCTGTCCACCCCAAAGCCCCATATATTACCACTTCCCTACTACAGAAGGTCATCAGGACAGTAGTGACTCTAGACTTCCCCACCACGACCAACAGAACAAAATAGCTTTTGTAGAGTGATCCAGCACAGCCCTGGACATGTACACAGTAACTGAGGATTAGGACTCAGGTAGCAGTACTCTCCTTTGCTGGCCTCCACGTACCTCCCATCACTCCAGTCCTAACCCTTTTATTTATTTATTTGGTGCTGGGGATTGAACCCAGGGCCTTGTGCATGCTGGGCAAGCACCTACCAACTGAGCTATATCCCACCCCCTTCCTTTCTATCTACTTTTAAAGGTGCTGGTGGCCTGATGGGCAGTCTGGGGTGGCCTTGGGATCAACTAACTCCCTTTGAGGCTAATGTGGAACCCTGTTGGCAAGTTCATTCTGTCGTCCAAATTCTTTCTGGGCATTACAAGTGAGCCAACAAGACCCACTCCCGGCCTCTGGAAGCTGGAGGGGTGAAACATTTTTGCACCTGTCAGTACTGTGTTCTCCATTACAGGAGTAGCCGCACGTTATTTCTGACATTATCTTATTTTTATTATTATTATTATTATTATTATTATTATTATTATTATTATTATTATTTTGTAATAAATTTGGCAGGGAAAAACTTGCCAATTGGGACTCGCTAAACCAGATTAGAGCGCAGTGCAATCTGTGGGCAGTTTGAAAAGGCCCGCCCCAGGGCCAACCGGGACTCCGCCTCTCCACCGTTCTGCCCTCTCCTCTTCCCAGGAGGGGGCATTATTAGAATGTCCCCGCCCCCTACCCAGAAGCCGCCCTGTGATTGGTCTTGCAGCGCCCCGCCCCCGCCAGAACTCCAAGTCCAGGGGCCCAGCACAGGGTTCCCAGGAAGAGTCGCCATGGAGCTGGGGCTTGCGGGCCGTCGGGCGCTGGTCACCGGCGCTGGCAAAGGTGGACGGCGGGCCGGGACAGGGGAAGGCGGGCTGGAGGCGCAGGCGGGGGGTGGCTGGCGGAGGTTTTCCGGCACTGAGCCGCGCTCGCCCTAGGCATCGGGCGCAGCTTGGTCCAGGCGCTGCATGCGGCGGGCGTACGGGTGGTGGCTGTGAGCCGGACCCAGGCCGACCTGGATAGCCTTGTCCGCGAGGTAGGCGCTACAGTCTCAGCCCTGCGGAGAAGCGGGTGAGTGGGTCCCTTTGGGCCCCCTGCCTCCCCTCGTGGGCACGGTGCTTCTCGCCTCTGGCCAGGCGCCTGGCGCCCGGGCTGGCAGGGACCCGCAGCACCCCCTCTCAGGAGGCGCGGTTTGCGTGGCTGGCGGGGTGGGGGTAGATTGGCTTGGCCCCCTGGGCTTGGATGAGGTTGAAGTGTCTTCTGACCTGGCCCTGCGCCAGGATCGCTGGGGCAGAGAGGAAATGAACTGGATGGAGGCGGGCCCAGCTCCGGGAAGCGCAGCCCCGGTTTGCCCGTAGGCAGCTGAGACCCCTAGCTCCTCTAGCTGAAAGCCCTTTGCAGCCCCAACTCCTCCCAGCCCAGTTCCTTCCCTCAGGTGGCAGCCGTCCACCTGTGCCCCTTCTTTGGCACGGAGCCGCTGGTAGCTGTGCCTCATCCCAATACAGTGTCCTGGAGTGGAGCCCTTGTGTGTGGACCTGGCAGACTGGGAGGCCACTGAGCACACCCTGGGCAGCGTGGGCCCCGTGGACCTGCTGGTGAACAATGCTGGCGTGGCACTGTTGCAGCCCTTCCTGGAGGTCACCAAGGAGGCCTTTGACACGTGAGCCAGCTGGGGTAGTGGAACACTGCAGGAAGGGGATGTCCCCTGCAGCAGCCCTAAGTCCCTGACTAGGACTCTGCATCTGCCACTAGGTCCTTTGATGTGAACCTGAGGGCTGTCATCCAGGTGTCCCAGGTGAGCTGCCCTGCCTGGTAGGAGCAGGAACTCTGAAGAATGGTGCTGGTTCTGCCTCCTGTCTCTCTTCAATTTCAGATTGTGGCCAGGGGCATGATTGCACGGGGAGCCCCCGGGGCCATTGTGAATGTCTCCAGTCAGGCCTCCCAGCGTGCACTTCCCAATCACACTGTCTACTGTGAGTGACTGGCTGTGACCTGGTCCCTGCTCCACCCCAGCCTGGCCAGCTTGGACTCTAAGATGTCCCTCTTCACAGGCTCTACCAAGGGTGCTCTGGACATGTTGACCAAGGTGATGGCCTTAGAGCTCGGGCCGTACAAGGTGAGCTGGGCTGGGGCACCTCCCACCATCCAGCCCACATGCCCAGGGCACCCTATTGGCCTTGCTGATCCCTGCCTGTCCCTGTGCAGATCCGAGTGAATGCAGTAAACCCCACAGTGGTGATGACACCCATGGGCCAGGCCAACTGGAATGACCCCCACAAGGCCAAAGTCATGCTGGACCGCATCCCACTTGGCAAGTTTGCAGGTGAGTCAGGCTGAGCCAGGTGAAGCAGCACCAGTGGCCTGTGCCTGCTGGGGTTGGGGCTGGAAGCCACTGAGCCACTTCCCCAGCCCCTTGTCTGTGCCCGACACGCCCCACCCCCCCCTGCCCACAGAGATGGAGAATGTGGTGGACACCATCCTTTTCCTGCTGAGTGATCGAAGCAGCATGACCACAGGCTCCACTGTGCCCGTGGACGGGGGCTTCCTAGCTACCTGAGCCCGCCCACTCAGCCCCATACTTAGCCTTCCCCTGCCCTCCAATAAACCTCATTCTTCAGCTCCCTGTGTGCCAATTCCGAGGGAGGCCAAGGCCCAGCAGATTCACAAGCCAGACCAGGTGGTGGCCTGGCTCTCACACCTGAGACTCAGGCCTGACTGGCCTTCTGGCAGGAGCTGGGAGGTGAAGTCTTCATGAAGGCTGGCTCCTAGAGTGGTGGCCTTTGGCCTTGTGTGGCAGGGAGCTGCAGCCACCTGACTGTGGGCCTCCCCTGGAGTTAACCAGGAGAGGCACGTCAAACCCCACCCATTCACTGGTGACCCAAGCGACCTGGTTGGATTTGACAACTGTCGCCCCATACTAGAACACTCCACAGCTTTTGTGCTCCAGCTGTGGGCTTGCCCATTTCTGTGGTGTAAATACCCTATTTCAAGCTGCTCACTAAATGTCATTGGATGTGGAGTGGAGAGAGGTGGGCAGTAGCACCCTATTAGGTCCCGTAGTAAATGGAAACATCCCGAGGCACAGATGACGCTGTTATCACAAAATAGGCGGCCATGTGTTGTATTTTTGTTACTAGGGATTGAACCCAGGGGTAATTTATCACTGAGCCATGTCTGCAGCCCATTTATTTTTAATTGTGAGACAAAGTCTCATTAAATTGCTGTGGCTGGCCTCAAACTTAACGATCCTCCTGCCTTAGCCTCCTGACTAAATTTTTTTTTTAAATATATTTTTTTTAGTTGTAGCTGGACACAATATCTTTATTTTATTTTTGTGTGGTGCTGAGGATCGAACCCAGGGCCCCGCACATGCTAGGCAAGCGCTGAACCTCAGAGCCACAACCCCAGCCCTTAAATTTGGTTTTAATACAACTAATTGCAATTTTAATTACTAATGACGGCTATTGTTAACAAGTAGCTAGCAAAATACCTGAAAACGCATCAATCAGCCCTCCTGAGCCAGTGTGAACTGCCTGGGCACACCCTGCAGGGCACCCTCTAGTCCTGTGTTTGTCTGAGGCCTCCAGGGTAAAGTCCAAGCCCCGGACTATGGCGGCCCTCCCTGGGCTGCCCCCACCTCTTCTCTCATTTCAGCAATATCAACTGTCACTCCTCCTGACGGCCATTTGTTTGGTTAGGCTGGGCCCTTCCTCTTCTCAATAGCAGCCAGAGGAGGTTGGGTGCTGTGCGGAGCTGCCCTGGGTCCAGCAGGACTTCATGAGGCCTGGCTGGGCTCCAGCCTCTGCACACCTTCCCTGGCAGCACGCCGGGGAGCTGCAGGAGACCCCAGCCCCCCAGACCCCAGGTCAGCCAGCATCCCAAGGGGCTAAAGGCACCTGCCTTGCTTTGGTCTGGGGAGGGTTTTTGGGCCGGGAGCAGTGCGTCTTACCCAGAGTGTGAGCAAGCACAAAGTCCCATTGGGGAACCTGTATCCGAGTCTGCTGCCACAGACTCCTCCACATCTGCTGGGGGTAGCTAGGGGTGAGCCGCCCCAGGGTGATGGGCAGGACAGGTAGTGAGAAGCAGGAGTGTTGATGGAGAATGTTTTATTGTATAAAATAAGGAGGGGCCGCCCCCTCTGGGGACGTAGTGGACAGAAACTTCCCACCCACCCACCCATCAGGGAAGCCCATCCTGGGGCTGCCCTGGACCCACCCCTGCAGCCCTGAGGGAGACCCTGCTCCCTCCTGGCCTCTCATGGGGGCCAGGGAAGGCTGGAGTTGTACCCCAGAAAGAGGAGGCAGAGGGGACAGGACCCTGTCACCCCAGCCTTGTCCCCATGCTTCCCCCTCCCCACCCATACCACTCCCCACAGCAGACTCGGACACCAAACAGCTCAACACAAGGGCACACTTGGGCAGGCGCTGTCCCTCCCCAGGCTGGCCTGGGGGGGGGACTCTAGAAGACCGTGCACTTCTTGCCGGGCTTTTTCACTGGGGGTGGGCAGAGCACTGCCCGGATGGCCTCATCAAATACTGTCTTCAGGCCCCGCTGGGTCAGGGCAGAGCACTCCAGGTACTTGACAGAGCCTGGGGACAGCAGGGTAGCGGTCGGGGAGAAAGGGGTCAGCGAAAGGACAGCGAGGATGGGGGCAGTGGGGAAACAAGCAGGGACCCCAGAACACACCCTGTATCTCCCACCTGGGCCATGCTGAACCCACTCACCAATCTCTCGGGCCATGGCCAGGCCCTGTGGGTAGGTGATAGGTGCCAGCTTCTTGTCCCGCAGCCGCTCAATGGTGTCCTTGTCGTCACGGAGGTCCAGCTTGGTGCCCACTAGGAGGATGGGCGTGTGGGGGCAGTGGTGCCGCACCTCTGGGTACCACTGTGGGGACAGAGGCTCTGAGCCTGCAGGCACTGTGGCCCCCTATATCTAGGCTGCTCCCCCCGGCCCTGCCCAGGTCAGGCCCCGGTTCCCCAGGCCTCTTCATTCCCTCCTTGGACACGCTGGGTTCCTCCACTCTGGGGCACACTGGGGAAATAACTGGGAACACAAATGCCTGGCCAGAAGGCCTTAAGGCGCACCAGGCCGCCAGTCAGGGCCCACCTTCGGGGGCGGGGGGGGGGAGCTGTCGGCCCCTCTGACAGCAGTGCCCACCAGAGCCACCCTCAGTGTCCCCCTCAATCAGAACAACGTTTCGTTGGCCCCTGAAGGACACGCTGCTTAAGGTCTGCAGGAAGAGATCCCTGACTTGGGGCAGAGGCTCAAGTCCAGCCCTCCCTAGGAAGTGTGGTCCCTGCAGCCTGGCCTACCTTGGCACGGACGTTCTCAAAGGAAGCTGGGCTCACCAAGGAGAAGCAGATCAGAAAGACATCCTAGAGGGAGGAGCAGATGAGAGGTCAGGAAGGGCTCAAAAGCTCCCTGTCCCCACCCCTACGGGAGCTGTGCAGCTCCTTTGGCTGGCCCTGTTGTCACCTACAGTTTGAGGATAGGAGAGCGGTCGCAGCCGGTCATAGTCCTCCTGCCCTGCAGTGTCCCACAGCCCCAGGTTGACTGGCTTCCCATCCACCATCACGTTGGCTGAGTAATTGTCAAAACTGCAGAGCAAAGTGGCAACGGGGCTCGACAGGGGCTCGACAGGCCACCCAGCAGCCCGCGGGCGGACTCCGGTTCTTAATTAAGCCTGCTGCCCAGCGCTTCAGCTCCCCTGAGGAGGCCCACAACCCGGGCCACTTGGGTCGAATGAGGGGCCCGGAGGAGTCCCCGTGTGCGCTCGGCCCCCACAGCTGGTTGCCGCACCTCCCACCCGCACGCACTCACACAGTGGGGATGTACTCTCCGGGGAAGGCGTTGGTTGTGTAGCTGATCAGCAGGCACGTCTTCCCCACGGCGCTGCGGACAGAGGGCCAGCCCACGTGGCTCGCGGGCCCAGCCTCGCACCCTCTGCCTAACAAGGGCAGCCCCTCCCACGGAGCCAGAGACCAGTTTGGGTGGCTGGGATGGTGGGGTGGGGCCCGGGGACCCCCAGCAGATCCAGAGCCACCTGGGACTGGGGGGAGAACATCCAGGGCGCAGAAGCAGAGCCTCCCAACCCTGGGTCCGGCGCGAGATCCACGCGCCCGGGAGGGCTGCAGGAGAGGGTGGGGCTGCGGAGGGCTCGGTGCAGGTGAGAGGCCTGGCCCCACCCACCAGGAGCCCAGGCGGGGACCCACCAGCATCAGGTGTGCCCGGGCGGAGGCCGCAAGCGGGACCCGCCCCACCCGCCCCTGGGACCGGGCGGCCGGGCCGGGGCAAGAGCGTAAGGGACCATCCCACCAGGACCCCACGCCGCTGGCCGCCGTGCCCCGCCCCGGTCCCGCCGACCCCGCACTCACCCGTCGCCGACCACCACGCACTTGATGGCCTGCATGGGCGCGGGGCCGGGCGGCGGCGGGCGCGGCCGCGAGCCGAGCTGCGGAGAAATGCCCGGCGCCGCAGCGGCCGCGGACCCGAGCGCCGAGGAGCGGCCGGAGACAGCCGAGCGCCGCCGATCGCGGGGCGCGGAGACAGCCGAGCGCGGCGCGGCGCGGCGGGGCGGGGCGGGCGAGCCGCGGCGGGGGCGGGGCGGCCAGTCCGTCCCCGCGCCGGCGAGCTGCCGCGACGCTCGGACCCGGGGTCCACACTCCAGGGCAAGGCCTGCGCGGCGGCGCCCCCGGCGCCGGGGACACTGCCCCCCTGCGGCCGGGAAGCCGCCGGCGAAGACGAAGACGCGGGGATCTGCAGCCCCGGGCGGGGGACCTGGCGGCCCTCCAGGCGCGCGCGGCCACAGCGAGCGGCGACCCCGCCCCGCCCCCGGGGGCCTTCCCGAGGGGTCGACAGCGGCGCACAGAGAAAGGCGCTGGGCCAAGAGGCATCACCGAGAGCAAAAGTTCTGTATTCCAGACTGCGCTTGCGGTGGGAACGCCCTCCCTCCGCCGCCACTGTCCCCGCGTCGCGTCGTTATGGGATCGGGACCCAGCAGCCCCTTCCTGTGCACGCGCACCCGTCCTGGCGTAGGGCTGGAGGGTCACTTTGGCTCGGGCCGCACGCCCATGGGCCGCCAGGTTTGTTTGTCCCCATGGTTGAAAAGGCCTGAACTCAAGGCCTGCCCTTGAGGAAGGATGCTTCGAGGGATGCCACCCCTCGGTTCTCCCAAGGCGATCCTGCTTTCCTTGCCTTTCACTTTGGGGGACTCAGAGATCTCAGGGGAGACCCCTGGACATAAGCCAAGACGGCATTTTGTAGGAAGCTCGCCCGCTGGGCCTCCTCGTCCCGGATGCGCGCGATTTCAGCCTCTTTGAGTCTCAGCTTCTCTCGAAGGGACGCGTTCTCGCTCTCCTTGTCCAGCAGCGCCTCCCGGTGGTCACTCGCGATCACTGCAGGCGAGGGGCTCAGTGAGAAGGGGCAGCCGCTGAGACCCGTTCCTGCTCACTCTCAGGCCAGGTGTGAACGCACCTTTCAGCTGTCGTTCCAGGGCTGCCACTTTCTCCCTCAGAGTCTCCTGGGCTGTCAGCTCGGCCCGCAGGCGGCCCATCTGCTCCTGCAGCTCCACTCGCACTCTGGTCACCTCGGCTACCTTTTCCTGGTCTTTGTTGCTTAACTCCTGTGGGGTATGGGGATGAGACCCAGCAGCAGCAGCAGGCACCCCTGGGACCTGCATCCCTGGAAACCCCACTACCTGCTGCAGCTCCTCTATGCGCCGTCGCTGCCCCTCCACCTGCAGGCTGAGCTGGCTGGCCCGCGCCTGGGCCTCAGCCACTGTCTGCTTCTGCTGTAGGCAGGTGCCCTGAGCTTCATCCCGGGCTTGCGCCAGCAGCCGCAGCTTCTCCTCCAGATGAGCCAGGTGCTGTTGCTGCGGGCATGGGAGGCACTGCTGCCCCAGGGCCTCCTGGCCTGAGCAACAGTACACATATGCACCGACTCCCACCTCTGGGCAAGCTGAGGGAGGCTCCACAGTGCCACTTGTTATCTCTGTGCCTCCAGGACCATCCCCTGGTGCAACCCCAGGCCTGAGCCTAGCCCCGTTGGTTCCTGGTGCTGCCCTCTCCCCTCTCAGAGGCCTAGCTGTGGGGCCCACAGCCCTGGCCTTGCCCACGTTAGCCACATTCCCAAGGGCTCAATAGTCCCACAGGCCTTGCAGGGTACTGCAACCAGCCATGTGTACCTGTGGCCCTGCCTCACCTCCTCCAGGCGGGCCTGGTTCCTGGCCTTGATGAGCTCCTCCTCAGCCTGGCCACGCTCGCTAAGTGCTGCTGCCTTTACGCGGCTCAGCTCCTGCACCGACACCACAAGCTAGCCCATCCTGCTCTGGCCCAGGATCCCTTCTGGGCCATGGGGCTGAAACCAGGAAGGTGTGCTCCAGGGTTCCAAGACGGGACACAAGTGGAGCCGCCACCCGTCGTTCACCCTAGGCTGGAGCTTGCCTCAGTCCACATGGCTCACCTCCTCCAAGGACAGCCTCAGAGCCTCCAGCCTCTGCAGCCTCTCCTGCATGGCCCTCTCACTTTCCTCTAGGTGCCGGGTCATGTGCTCCACCTGCCCAGGAGTGGAGTCAGAGGTCAGGGTGGGGAGGTGCAGGCTCTCCAGCCCACCCCCATGGAATCCCTGCCCTGGAAGGCACATGTCTCTGGGGGCACCCTGAGGGTGCTGGTAGGAGCCAAGTACAAGGGCACAGCCCAGCCCTGGTGCCCTAGGATGCATGCCAGAGCAGGGCAGGTGGGCATCCCTTTGCCTGTGGGGAGCACACATCAGATTGCACTATACAACGCACACACATTGCCTGCCATCAGCAACTCAAGGCCAGTGAGGGGACCCCATGAGGGGTGGGCTTTGGGGCCATGGCAGCCTGTCTGTATGCACCAGGTGGATGAGGGAACCAGGGGCCCCATGATGTGCACCAAGAATGCACCTCCTTGAAGCGCAGTTTTTCGGAGTCCTCCATGTTCTGTCTGGCCCTTCTCTTCTCCATATCCAAGCGCTCTAAAGCACAGGAGGAAAGTGTGATGAACCTTCTCTGGGATGCTCCATCCCTGGGGCTCCCTGTCCCCTCAGTGGCAGGCCTGCCTGGGCCTACCCTCAGCCTGGACCACTCGGATCTTCAGCTCAGCTGATGTGTTGGTTAGCTCCTGCCTGGTCAGAAACAGCTCTTCCTGCTGAGACTTTAACTTCCGCTCCAACTCATCCACCTGGAAAGCCAGCAGCATGGGCCGGAGCTGGGCCTGGCCCCATCTTGGCTCCCTGGGTGGTGACCCCATGCCTCTCGTACCTGGTTTCGAAGCAGCAGGTTCTTTTCACTGGCAGCAGACAAGTCTCTGAGGAGCTTAGACTCCCGTTCTGCAGCTTCCTGAGTTGGGTGTGGGGTGAGTACCACTGGTTACACTGCTGCCACCCCCACCTGCCCACCCGCGCGTGCCCCACCTGCTGCTCCAGCCTGCGTTCTTTCTCTTCCCTCTGTGACAGACTCAGCCGTTCCTGCTCTGCCGTGGCCAGCAGCTCCCCCAGGTCCTGGGACTTCTGCTCCGACAGAGCCAGGGCAGCCTCAGTCATCTGCAGTCTGCAAGAAGAAGGGCCAGCCAGCTCCGCCCCAACTCCATCAGCAATGTCCGGGGGTCTCTCTCCTGCAAACCCAGCCAGCACTCACCTCTCACAGAGAGCATTCGTGAGTAACCACTGCCTCTGCCTATGCACAGGCTGTACTCCCTTCCCCTGCCCCCTGGGCACAGCTCCAGTGTTCTGCTTACTTGGCCTTGAGGGCATTGATGATGGAGTGCCTCTCCTTCAGGGCTTCCTGAAGCTGCCCCACACGTGCTGCCGATGCCCTGTGTGCAGAGGAGGGTCTGAGAAGCCCAAATCCGGGAGCCCTCCCTGGCCTGCCGAGCAGCCGTGGTTCCTTCTGCACCTGCGGCTCACCAAACTCGGAGCTGAGAGGGTGTGTTGCACCTGCACTGACCCTCCAGCCCTCCTGGGGAAGCTCACAATACAACTCATTCTCATTCTCAGGCAAGTGACCCCAGGTGTGCAGCTGAGCTGCAGCCCCGCCTCCCCAACCCTGGGCCCACTCACTGGCTGCTCCTGGCCATCTCTTCTCGCTGCTTATCGATTGTCTCCATCAAATCCAGAAACTGGGGACAGAACAGGCCAAACCCTCTTCAGGGTCCAGAGACTGCTTGCCCTGCCCTGACCAAGCAAAGGAGAGCAGACGCCCACCTACACAGTTGGGCAACACTCAGCCCCTGGCCCCACTGCCTCATTCAAAGGAAAAGTGCCCTGCAGAGAGGAGCTGGAGGCTGGGACACTGGCTCTCACGTGGCACAAGGAAGTAGGACCAGGAGGTCACCTTGGGGGTGGTTATCTGTGCCTCAGAGGCTCCAAGGTCTGGAGGAAGGAAAGATGGGTATAGCACGGGTGCGAGGGAGTAGAGAGCGGGCCACAGCCAGCTGCATCCACAGCAGCCAGACTGGGCTTGGGCAGCTCCGAGGTCTGTGAGGGTGTCTGCTTACCTGCTTGGACTTCTCCTCCTGGAGGTACTGGACCTCCTTGCTGAGCAGGTGGGTGCGGGTCTGGGTCTCCTGGAAGGCAGTATGCCGGTCCTGGTTGTGCTCCATGGCTTGCTCTGTTGGAAGGAGCTGTATTACCAACTGGGTGGCTGTCTGCTCAGCCTTAGGAAAGGCAGAAGACTGGCCCAGCCCTGCACCGGCTATACTGGAAAAATGGCCATTTGGGAACCAACACTGTGGCAGGCACCATCTCTTAACAAATCGACACACCCGCTTCCAGTACAGGGGTCGGGGGCTGGATGCAGGAGGTGCCTGGTATGGGGGCATCTCTTGCACATCTGAGGAGGTCACTGCACCACAAGGTGGCCACCATGCTGGAGCATCTGTCCTCCACCACAAAGGTTGAGGGCCACTGTACGACCTTAACAGGTATTCTGGGAAGACTTAGGCAGCTGTAGAAATCAAAAGCCCTTTCAACAGCTACTGCTTGCATGGAGGAAGGGCTAGGAACAGTGAGAACTTGGAGATGACAGAGGGTTAGGCAGAACCATCAGGAGGTGACCCTGGGGCAGAGGAGTGTGGAAGAGGCCATGGTCCAGACTCTGGGCCCATACTCAGACTTCTGTGGCTAGCATTGTGCAATAGATGGAGAGTTATAAGATGTGGATCTGCTATCCTGGGGCTGAGGTGTCATCCACAGGGACTTGGGGGAGGGGTCACCAGTAGGAGAGGCCATAGCTCAGGCAGAAGCAGCATAGGTCATGTGGCCCTGTACCTACAGGGCTCATATGCACAGCCACAAACACAAGGATGACCAGGAGACAAATACCAAGAAAATACCCTCCCTAGCTAGGGCCAGGGCTCCTAGTCACAGGGCCCCAGTTTGCCAGTCTGTGAAATGTGACATCCCTCCCCCATACGGGGTCCTAAGAACTGAACGAGCACATGGCTAAGTCCTCGACAGCAACAAGCAGCAGGCACCTAGTGGGGGGGGGGGTCTTCTGCTCTTCCCTCATCTTCCTGGTGCCTACCTAGGCTGGGCTACTCCTGATAAGCTTACCTGTCCACAGCCCTGAGCTGCCCCCTCCCATGGTGGACAGGCCTCTGTCAAAGGGCTTCATGCCTTGCTCCAAACTGAGCAGCAAGCAGCCTCGTGCACCCGTACCCACGGCTCTGAGGACATCACTGGGGACGTTGTTCCCAGCCAGGTCCAGCCTCCACAGGGTTCTGTTGCTGGGGAGACAGTTCACCAGGGCCCGGCCCCCCAGGAGGCCAACGTTATTCCAGCGCAGGTCTGGAAGGAAACCTGTTGTCACTAGATGGAAGGCACCTGGCAGGGTGGGGGAGCTGGCCTAGCCCACGTTGCTGCCTTTGCCTATGGTTGCCAACAAAGCAGGAAGCCCAGCCCACTCCTTCCAGCAGCAGAGGGATGAGGGAGCAGGGGATGAAGGAGACGCCCCAGGTCCCACCAGGGAAGCCCGAGTGCAGAAGGCCTCACCCAGCTGCTGGAGGGTGGCATTGCCCTTTAGGGCCAGGGCCAGCTCCTCTGCCCCCTTGTGACTGATCTGGTTGTTGCGGAGGTCCAACTGCTGCAGGGTGCTGTTGGCTGCCAAGCCCCCACAGAAGGTGGCAAAGGCATCTTCCCATGTGCCCAGGTTGTTCCACTCCAGAGTGAGGCTGTGGGAAGGGGACTCGAGGTGCTCAGCCCAGTGGAGCACCTGACCTAGGGGGACCCAGGGCCTACAGATTACAGAGGCTGTGGGTTCAGGTCTCTGGTAGAGGTTGGAGTCTCCTGAGTGATTCATACCCACCTACTCCCCACCAACGGGTATGGAACCCAGACAACAGGACTATGTCCTCTGGGGCCAGCCCCGAGCCACAGGGACCTGGGAGGTGCAGGTGGGTTGGATGGTGCTGTACCTCTGAATGGACTGGTTCTGTCGAAGGAGTTTTCCCAGAGCCTCAGCCCCTGCAGCTCGAAGGTTATTGCCCTAGGATAGGAACAGCCTGGCCAATTACTTCCTGTCACCCTAGTAGGTTCTGAATTCCACATCCCTACCCCTTAGAGCTTTGGTCGGGCAGTAGACAAGAGCAGGGAGGCAAGCTCTGGAAAAGGCACATGTCCTTTCAGAACCTAGTTTCCCTGTATCCTGGGACGGGTGCACTCAGCGTTTATGGGAGCACTGCCCTCAACACACACATGTGTGGTTCAATCAGAAGGGAGTCATGGAGGCCCTGGGCGCCAGAAGATCTTACAGACATGGTTTCTGGCCACTGTCAAGACCCAGACCCTAGGACCCTGCATTTCCCCCTCTCCTACCCAAAGTGCAGGCGGGCTCACCTTCAGATCCAGAAACCGAATGACAGTGTTGGCACACAGCCCTTGGAGCAGTAGTGTGGTTCCTGGATAAAGGAGATGAGTGGTCACTCTCTGCCTCTGCTGGCCCTGAGCCCTCACTGTGGGCCCCATCTCAGGGCATCTCCCCAGACACAGGAAGGAGGACTGCCCTGTTGTTCCCACTGTTCTGGGTTTACAATGGAAATCAGTCTTCTTGCTCCTTGTAAAGTTAGTTTGAAACATCTGCTGCCCTGCCAGGCAGCACTGGGCTGCTGAGACCTCCTCTTCCTCAGCTATACAGGGAAACTGCCCTCTGCTCCCAGGTTTGGGGAGGGGACACTTTCTCACTTTAGGATATACAGAGAAGAGGAAACAATCAAGTGGCACAGAAAAATTCCCTGCCTGCAGCTACAGAGGCCAGCCCTTTAAGTTGCAGAGGCCACCTGCAGCTCAGGCACCCACCTTCCTCGCTCAGCATACAGTCGCTAAGGACGAGCTCTGTCAACAGTGTCTGATTCTGCAGCAGCTTGCCCAAGGCCCTGCAGGTGTCCACCGTCAGGCTCTGCGTGGCCAGGTCCAGCCGGCCCCGTGGAAGCTGGTGCAGTTGCTGCAGGACAGCCTCCTGGGGTTCGGACCCACTCTCCTTGCACAGGCGGCTGTAGGAACGCCGGAACTCCTCCATGTCCTCGCTCCCCTTCATGCTCCTAGAGACAGGCTCCACATGAGCCAGCTGGGCAGGCGACCGAGGGGCCTCCTCCCTGGGGGCCTACACCTAACTGCGGGAGGGACAGCCGCTAAACACCCGGCTCAGCGCGGGCACTCGTGGCGATCGGCGCCTCGAACGACGGGGGCTGGGGGTGAATTTCGCTAATCCTAAGGGGGAGGCCTAGGAGAGTGGGATGGGAAGGTGGATGGATGGTCGGGACCGCTCAAGGAGGGCGTCCCAGGTTGGCAAGGGAGGTCAAGGAAGCAGGCAGGCGCGTCGCACGTACCCCGAACCCACCCTACGGACCCCGCGGCTCCCAGCCCGCCCTCGCGCCGCAGAACCCACTAGCAGCCTCCGCACTTCCCGCTGCCCGGGCGCCACGGTATCCAGGAAGAGCAGAGGACGCCGGGAACGACGCAGGGGACTACAACTCCCAGGAGGCGTTGCGGAGGAGTTGCTCACCAAGAACCAATGAGAGAGAAGGGCGGGCGCGCGCTGCAGAATGCAAGCCTAGGGACTCCGGCTCATTGGCTGGGACGTGGCGGTGTGGGGGCGGGGTTACAGGGGAAGCGCTCCGTATCATTGGCCAGGGGTGTGACCAGGCTCATTGGCTGAGGCGCAGGTTTCGCGGAGCGCGAGCTGCGGTGGCGGTCATGGAAGGATCCTGTGCGGGCTTCCGGAAGGTGAGACCCATGGCTGGCGGGCTGAAGGTGCTCACGCTGCAGCCCCAGCGTGACACCTGAAAGGGCCCGAAGCCTGTCCGCGCGCTCTTCAAGGGCGAGGTATCGCGGCCAGACTGAGGGGTCTGCGGAGGCAGCCGGGCCGCCGCCCGCCCCTCGGTTCCACGGAAGAGTCGGCGCGCCGTCCAGCCTCGGAGCCGCAGGGCGTCCCACACCGCCCGGCTGCACGCTGGCCGGGCTCTGTCGGGGCAGAGGCGGCTGCGGCCTGCGTACTCACCGTGTGCGGGCGAAGCTGCCGCGCGGAGGCGTTCCCTAGGCGGTAGGGCCGGGATAGCCCCGGGCCCCGAGGACCTGGTCTTGGAGAGGAGGAGTTGCGGATCCCAGAGGGAAAGTCACTGCGGCTTGGGCACTGCCTTGAGACAAGACCCGGGGAGGGTCACAGCCTGTCGGGCTTTGGATTAAGCCCACCTGGACAGCTAGATCCTTGCGGGCTTTGGCTAGAGCTGGGGTTGTGGCCGTTACACACACGCAGGCGTCCTCAGCGAGGGTGACAGAGGGGACTTGTAGCCTTGTGAGGCCTGTGTGGTGGGGCCCCGGAGCTTGGCATGTTCACAGTGCCTTTGCTGATCCTGCCTTCCTGGAAGTCACTGCAGAATGACTCCAGCAGCTGTCGTCCAGCCCCAGGCAGTGGCTGCCTCTCCTGCGTGGTCTTCCAGGGCAGCATGCCCGGGGTCCTGGAGAAAACGGGGAAGGAGGCGCCTTCTCTGCCTCTTCTAGTACCCTCTTGGTATAGCACTTGATAAGCAGAACCAGCAGGTGGCACTAGGCTCCTGTTCTCGTTGACAGGACCCCTTCTGGCCACTGGGCTGTCTTCCCAACAGGTTCTTCACCAGCTCTCAGAACTTTGCCTCTGCATTCACTTTTGCCCATGCTTCTCTGCGCTGGGTGAGACGGTGTGGCCTCCCTGTGGCTGATGCTAGTGGCCTGGTGGGTGCTAGCTCACCCTCCCCTGTGTGACAGCCTGTTGTCTGGGCTCCTGGGTGCCCATTGCTGCTGCCCTCCCTCTTCTCCACTTGGCCCCACAAACTGCATGGGTTCTTCTTGTCCAGCTGCCCTGACCCCCAGGTTCACTCACCATATCACAGAATGGTGTCATCCTTTCAGGTGTCAAGCCACACAGAGGGAAGCCCAACAGCTAGGCCCCACAGCAGAGCCTACTTTTAAGACCTCAGCAGCCCAGTCTTTCCACGACAGTGCCCTTCCACCCACAACCTGGAAATGGCACCCAATTTCCTGCCAAGGAGAGCTTAACAGGTTTCGGGCCTCTGTCCAGCCCCTGCCTAGCTAACTGCAGCCCAACTCCTGCTCCCACCACACCGGTCACCTCCACCAGAACAATGGTGCCCCTTAGCACCCACTATGCAGCATGCAGCTGGTGCCCAGTGAGACAGTATTGGTGGGCACATCTTCCCAGGCCTCTGGAGCAGGTAGCTGTAGCATCCCCTCCGCCCTGCCCATTGAACCAGGGCTCTGCTTCCTCATGGAGAGCCACTGCCCCTCAGGCCCCAGGGGTGGGTGATGCAACAAAACCTCTCCCTTTCTTTCTCCCCAGAGCCCCGAGGGTGCAGGTGGCTCCCAACGGGATTTCTTATCCCTAAAGGGGGTCCCACAGGTCCCCCTACCAGCCCCCCTGGATAAACTCTTCCCCCTCAGCACAGCCAGATGCCTCCCTGATCCTGAGACCCTGGGGTGGCAGTGCTTTCAGCTGGAAGTCAACCCCTTCCTTCCAGAAGGGGTGACCCTCCCTCCCCTCCAGGAGCTGGTGAGCAGGCTGCTGCACCTGCACTTCAAGGACAGCAAGACCAAAGGTGAGTGCCAGTGGGAAGCCTGCGGGAGAAGGGAGGTGTGGGGGTGTGGGGACAGGGTCTCCTGACGGCTCTCTTGTTCCTTACAGTCAGCGGGGATGCACTGCAGCTCATGGTGGAGTTTCTGAGGATCTTTGTTGTGGGTGAGCCAAGGGCCCAGCAGCTAAAGGGCAAAGAGCATTCAGAATTCTTTTACTTTTCAACGTGAACACTAAGCTTTTCTCAGTTCCCACAAACACCTAAGCTGTGCCCCTGACAGGGAGGAGCCACAGCCTGGCTCTTCTCAGGGGTGCCAGTGGGTGCAGGGGGTGGCGCAGGGCCAGGGCTCCAGTCCCCTGACTTTCACCCCCTCACTTCTCGGCATCAGAGGCAGCTGTCCGAGGGGTGCGCCAGGCCCAGGCAGAGGGTGCAGTGCTTGTGGACGTGGACCAGTTGGAGAAGGTGCTCCCTCAGCTGGTACGTGGAGTGCAGGATGGTCAGTCTGGGGGGTCCTGGGGGGTGCCTGGCTGGCTGCTGAGTGCCCTTCTCCCCAACAGCTCCTGGATTTCTAGGGATGTTCATCCTCCCTGAGGCCACCCCCAGGGTGGCTGAGTGTCTTCTGAGGCCTGTGGGGTCTGCAGTGCATTGACAACAGTATTATCACCTGGTTCCCAAGAACCTCCTCCAGTGTTTGAAGGACACTAAGGACCTAGCATTCGGTGCCCTTAATAGTATCCCGTCCCCGTGGCTCCCAGCTGATGAGACTCTGGGACACACAGGCAGGTACAGGGAACAGGCGGACTGGCCTGCTTCCCAATCCCAGCCATGCCACCACGTGGTATATGGTGTATTGTAGCCACCCCAGCATTAGAGCCTACCAGCAGCCTGTTAGCCATATGGGCCTCCCCTAGAGGATGCCCCCCCCCCCCAAGCTGTAAATTTATTCCCACAGACGAACACCAATAAATCAACATCTCTTCTCCCAGGCTTTGCCTTGTTCTTCCTGGTCACCAAAGTCAAGTTGCTTCAAAGCCTTAGCCTGCATGTCCCCTTTCATCCATCTTGGTAGAATGAAGCCACACCCTTAGGAAGGAGAGGATGGGCAACAAATGCCATGTGTGCACTGCCCACCAGGGACTAGGCCAGGCCACAAGACAAGAGCCTCTACACATGTGGCCAGCTCTCCTAAAACATACTCTTCCGTTCACAGGCCGCAGCAGGCAGTCATGTCCAAGAGCATTGCCATGTGCTGGTCTCAGGCCACAGGGCCCACTTACTATGGCCAGGACCAGGATACACAGGATGAGAGGGACCCAGAGACCAGATAGATGCTTCTAGGTCTTGTACCTGCTTCAAAGCCATGCTGAAATGAAAAAGGGCCTCTCCCATCCCTGCTCGCCAATGGCCCCAAGCAAAGTACAGGTCAGCTGCAGGCCATGCACACTGCCCGCCTCAGCAATGCAAGGCTGTGTGGTCCCATGCAGGAGGTCTGGCAGTCCCAACGCTCAGACTGGCCAGCTAGCTCCACTTGTGCTGGAATTCAGGAGGCACACAGGGTCTTCTATCCCTGTTCCCAGCAGCACCTTGTAGGGCTGTGGAGTCCCCTCCTTGAAGCACCCAAAGCTGCTCTGTCAGAACACAGGGCAGGGACACCACTATACCACTGGGCACTTGGCATCAATTGTGGCCCCCTGGACTCCTGCAGGTTTCAGGTCTGGCGGGGGATGGGCACGTTTGGAGGGTGTGTATTCAGGCCCCAGGGCAGGACGGACAGCGCCTGCTCCTGCTAGGGCCCAGAGTAGCCTTGGAGAACCTTTGGAGGCAGGAGCTGGCCTGGGCATAAGCCCCACAGGTCCAAGGAGCAGCTGGGTAGGCAAGGGACTGCTCTGAGCTCCTGTGTGTCCCCACTCAGCAGGTGGGTGTCTGCAGAAGTCAGGAGATCTGCAAGGGAGGGGCTGGCTGGTGGCGACACAAGGGCTCCAACTAGTGGAAGTGCAGGAACTGGCTCTGCAGTCCTGCTGGGGGCCCAGGAAAGGGTCACCAGGAAACCCTATGCTAGGCCCTGCCCAGGGCGGCCCTGCAGGGGTAGGGGAGTGGCCTACTTTCTCCTCCTCCTCCTTTCTAGTAGAGTACTGAGATTAATTTGGTGACAATAGGGAGAAAGCCACTGCACCTAGGGTCTGGCCTGCCCAGACCTTTTGCAGGGGACACCAGAACTCTTGTATCAGGAACACCAGTCCAGCCAGGCTTCTCGGGGCCAGCCTGGTCGTTGTGGAGGAGTGAGCGGGACAGAGGCCTGGGGGCCTTTGCTTTAGGAAGGATGATGGACAGCCTTGAGAGAAGCATGTCTTTATTCCTGCTTGGGGCGGGGCGGGGGGGGGGGGGGTGGGGTGGAGTCCGGTCCTGCGGCTCTTAGATGGCAGCTCTCACCTCTTGCTGGCTGCAGCACAAACACACGGGGATGACTGTGGGTCCTGGGACCCTTGCCCACCCTGCTCAGCCAGCCCTGCCTGCCCACCACCAGCACCTGGCAGCCTCAGCCACTTGGGCACCTTGCCCGGGTTCCTCCTCATGGGTTGCACTGCCCCTGGGAGAGACCCAGGGGGTCCCAATGCCCCCTCCTCAGCTGCTGGCTCAGACTCCAGAGGCACAGCACCAGGGGTTGGCAGTGGCAGGGGAGACCTGGTGGCCCTGGACATGCACCTGGGATGAGACACAAAAGTCAATACGGCTGGCACTGCCCAGGAGACCCCTGAACCCATGGCACTTACCTAGCCACCAGCACATCCGCTGCAGAAGGGGAGATGGTGTGTTCCAGCAGCCCTGGCTCCAGGTAGAGGCCTGCAGAGGCACAGTCTACCCTCAGTCCCTTGTGGGGGGGGGACTCCCCCACCTTCCACCCACAGTCAGCTCTGGGAGGGTGTTTGCCTGGGCAGGGAAGTAGGCATCTGGGTACAGACCTTCCCTCTAAGACCCACATGAGGTCCCCAGACTGAATACCCTCCAGGACTTCCTGCTTTGGGCATCAAATAAGCTGGGATTCATGGTACAGGGCAGTTGGCCAGGGTCAGCAGCATGGTGGTCTCCCACTCACCTGTTGGTTCCTCAGCTCCGAAGTGTACGAGGGCAGCAGGGAAGAGGTTTGCCTGCAAAGGGGAGGGGGCTCAGGGGCTGTGCAGCAGTCTGCTGGGATGGCCACGTCTCCTCCCTACAACAGCCTGCCCAGTTTGGATAGGGACCCAAAGGACCGCCCCAAGCCCCACCTGGAAGTGCACTTATTTCTGTGACTCCTGCATTTCCCGTCTCTTCCCTCCCACCCTTCTGCCCTCGGCAGGGTGAGTAGTCAGCACTCTGGGGGCCAACTTCAAGGCCAACCAAGTCAGAAGGGACAGTGCTGGACAGGTGGTCTGGGAACCAAGGATGTCAGGGCAGGGCACCCTGCTGCTATCTAGGAACAGAGACCGTGAAGACAGGGGATGCCTATGACTCTGCTGACTGTCCATACTCCCCATACCTGGTATTGCCCCCAAACTGGGGGACTCTGGGCAAGGGGTCTTCCTTTGGGCTGAGGGGATGCACTCAGATCCAGTGGGAGATAACAGTGTCCTGGGAGGGCAGGCCTGGGCTTGAGGTGGGCTGCTGGTTCCCAGAGCCAAGCAGCTCTGGGGTCCCAGGCTGAGTGCCCCAGCCAAGGCAGGGCATCCCTCTGGCTAAGCCAAGAGGGCACAGGCTGCCAGAGTCCCCGAGTTCCTCATGTCCACTCAAATAAGGCTCTGAAGCCCAGGAGTCTAGCACCAATTCCTCCCCAAAGCGGGCAGGGGTGCAGGTTCCTGCTTGGGGACTGGCCTCACTTGCTTGGGCACCAGTGGGGGAATTGAAGTGTACAGGCCCACATGCCTCTGACGCCTTGGGCATGTGGCTCTGAGAGCATCAGAGCTGCAGAGGCCTGAGAGCCACCAGTCAGGGCCTCTAGATCTTCCTCCTCTCCGCCAGGGCCTCTGCACCACCAGAGGAAGGTGGGGGCTGGGCCCAGCCAACAGGCCTGGGGCCCAAGCTATATTCCTGGAAGGAGCTACAGCTGCTAGTTGAGGGTGTTCTCTCCCCGAGGCTCCAAGCTGCTGGGAGTGCCCAGGGCTTGCCAGGTGGGTGGGGTTGGGGAACGTTAAAAGATTAATACGAGTAGGCTTCAAAGGCCAGGCCTAGGAACACTGAAACCTCAGCCTGCAGCCGGCAGCAAGGGACACAAACAAGGGCGGTGAATGCTTTGAAACCCAACTGTGGGGCAGGCATCAAAGCCTAAGAGGAGGCCTGGGGTGGGGGCCTACTCAAAGCCCCTGCAGAGGCACTGGAAACGGAAGCCTTCCTTGGTGGAGCACGGTGGTTCTTGCCCTCACGTGAGCCTCCCATGTGGCTGGCCCACCTCCACACCCAAAACACGTGTCCCTATGGGACCTGGCCAGGGTTCAGACGCAGGCCACCGCCCCACAGGCTCATCTGGGAAGTTCGCCCCATCAGCACTGGCCATGTGCTCCACACCCACCCCAGCTAAGTGGGCTCCCTTGGAAGCTTCCAGGAGGGACCACACAACTCCCTCAGGTGGGGCCCCTCACCTGGAACTGCCTGTGCAGAGGGGCAGTCAGGACCAGGAGCACCAGGCGAGGGAAGGGACCTGCAGGGATTCCTGGAAGAGCAGCCAGCACTGCTGCGCTGAAGGGACGAGGAGGTGGGGCAGCAGGCCGGGCAGCATCACGGCTGGTTAGTGTGCAGCGGGGCTAAGCCTGGGCCTCCTTGAGCCTTATGGCACCTCCCACCTGTGGAAGCCTCCAGCTGGGCCCCCAAGAAGGCCCAAGGTACCTGCCCTCCAGGACCCAGGAACTGCCCATCTTCACTGCCACCTCCTGTTCAGGCCAAAGAGCCAGGCAGCAGAGAAAGGCTGCCTCCATCTCTAAGCACAACCAGGTGTGCCCAGGCTGAGACCTGCTCAGAGGCAGCAAGTGCCTTTTCCCTAAACCCAAGGGACGGCAGGCTATGCCTTCCGAGGGCAGGGGCCACAAAGTCCCTGATTGTGGGGCTCACATGCTTCCTATGGGCTGATGCCTTGGGTGGGAGCCGAGTCTCATCTGACCCAGGCTGCGGGGTACGCCAGAAAGGACCCTTGGAGCTGCTTACTCCTTCTGGCAAGCTAGAGTCTGGGGCCTACCTCCACCCCTCACCTCCTTCTCTGCTCTCAACCTGGAGACAGGGCATGCAGCAGGGTCAGCCTGGGGGTACAGGCTTGAGGCCTTGGGGAAGGAATCCTCTAGGGGAGTCCTCTAGTCCCCCTGGGCCAGCCCCGCCCCCAGCCAGGCCTTCCTGCCCACCAGTTCAGGGCTCAAGACCTGAGTGAACAAGGGCCAGCAGAAAGGAGATCCCACCACCTGTCCACCAATAGCCCCTGTTGGCCACTCTGACCCATTCTTGGGGCTGAGCACTGGCCAGGTTGCCAGGCCCTGGCCCAATCCCACCTGCCCATCCCCAGTAGACCCACAGAGAAGGGGTGGGGACAAACCTGACTACAACCTTCAAACCAACTGCTCCCCAAGACTTGGGGACAACTGAGAGCTGATGGCAGAGGAAAGTTGGGGACATCAAGAAAGATGGATAGCAGCTGACACAGCCCCCAGAAAACAGAGGGCAGGAGAGGCGGAACTCCTCCATGCCCCAGTGGCACCACAGGCCAGGCAGACACAGGACCTGAAGCTCAGGTCGAAAGGCCCCTGGAGAGCAGTGCTGGCCTTGAGGGCCCTGTGCAAGGTGGTAGGCGGGGGCTGGGAAGGGCGAGGTGAGGACCCTGGCTCAGGGCAGCACCCTCACCAGGGTGCTCCGGCACAGGAACAGGGTTTGCCTGTTCCCATTTGGAGAACGGTTCTTGTCCTCACTCCTGACCACCCCAACAGTCCTCCCAGAAAACCCTTGCTGTCCCAGGCCAGTGGTGTCCCCCACAGGCACCCCACACCATCGTTCTCTTAGGCAGGCTGGGCCAGACAGCCCCAGGCGGCAGGCAGTCAGAGCACAGCCCTGCCAGAGACACGAAAGCTGCGGCTTCCACGCCGCCGCCTGCTCACCCGCCGGAGGGAGGCAGGCTTCCTTCCCTCAGCCCTGCCAGCTCTGATGATGGTGGGCATGGGCGCCACCCCTCACAAGGCCCTGAGGCTCAAGGCCCAGCAGATTGATGGAAGGAGACAGCTGCTGATGGTGGGGGAGTGTCACCAGGAATCAGGCACGGTGGACTGGAGGTGCCTGAGGCTCAGTGGGGGAGCCTCCTGACGGGGGCGGGGGAGTTGGACACCGGCCCTCCATGCCAAAGCATCTTCCAAATTCAATGTTTATCAGCAGGCTGGCCAGCAAGGCAGGGAGGGGTACAGAGGGAGAAGCCTGGCGCCTGGGGCTTTACGGGCCGAGAGGGGACGACACTGTCACAGGCCGGCTATTGCACCTCCACGCCCCTCGCTTGCGGGTGAGGCTTGGTGAGCTTCCGGCCCGCCTGCCAACTTTGTACCCCACCTCACCCCAATGGTGGTGGCTCTAGACAGCCAGCAGAGCCTGTCACCCCCAACCCAGACCTCTACAGAGGCCTTTGGGCTGCCTCTGTTGTTAATTAAAATATCTGAAGATTCTTTGAAGAGGAAACTATTAGGCCAGAAGGGCTCGGGAGGCTCCAGCTGCTCTCCCAGGGGGCGCAGGGACAGGACATTCATCCCTCCTGGCTCTGCAAGGCAGCAGGGCAGGGCACAGGATTAAGTGGCCGCCCAGCACCAGGACCTCCAGGGGTGGGTGGTAGGGAGTGGTGGGCCAGTTGGGGACCAGGGGAAAGGCCGGGCCCAGGAGAAGGCAGGAATATAGGCTGGCAAGAGCCCCCCAGCCCAGGTCCCCAGTCCCTCTCAGGCAGTCACTTCCAGCCAAGGGCTCCACCCAGTCCTGCCAGGGCCCTTCCTCACCCAAGTACTGGGCAGGGGACTAGTGTTACCCAACAGTCCAAGGGCCAGGACCTTCTGATGGCCCCAGCTCAGGATGGCTGGCCAGTCAGGCAGGCAGGCCCATCCCCGCCCTGGGGCCAGGCAGGAAGCGGAGGAGGTTGGAAAGCCCTGTCAGAAACAACTTCAGAGGCCACGCTGCTCCCTCTGAATTCCCGGCTCTGAAAGGCTTTATTACCGCCGCAGCCTGCCAGGGCACTCCTTCCCAGCCGCAGGCCTCGCCCTGCCCAGCCTCCTGCCCTCAGCGCGGCCACCCCACCAGCACCCCCAGCAAAGCAGGTAGTACCTGGAAGAGGGTCAGCGTGTGGTCATCCAGGACTGTTCTGGGGGGGGCGACGACTGTGGAGGGAAGGCACTGTGAGGAGACCAGCCCGAGGGCTCCTTGCTCTCCTCTGTGGCTGCAAGAGTCCGGCAAGGGGTCCAAGGGGCTGGGGCAGACCCACCCAGATGCAGCTCTCCCTGGACCACTGGCCTCTCCCTGTGGACTGAGCCACAAGGTGGGGTTCAGGACACGCAGAGCCTCCCTCCCACCTCTGGCTCCTTCCTGCCTCCCCACCAGGTCCAGCCATGACACTGACAGGCGCTGGTGGGGCCCTCAAGAGCTGGTGGGGCCAGCTGCAGATTGCAGAGAGTGGAGGTGGGCGTGTGCCTGGGCCTGGACCCAGGAAACGGGGAGGGCAAGGAGTGGGCAGAGCGCAGGAGAAGGCACTCACACAGGTGAAACGGCAACTGGGGATTCCCCAGGTGGCTCCGCACGAAGTCTCGCAAGTCCCCCACTGCAAAGAGGGAGGGGAGCAGAGGGCTTCTCAGGAGAGGCCCACACGCCTGCTTTCAAGGCCTACCTTAAACCCCCACTGCCGGAAGCCCTGCCAGCCAGGGCACCATCAAGTCAGCCTGGGCATACGGTCCCCACAAATTGGATTCTGCTCCCACCTTCTTGGCAGAGGCCAAACAGGGATGGGAATTTCAACACTGCTCCTTCTTCAGCATCCCAAGGCTCAGCCTGGCTGGACCACCATGCAGGCTGCTACTGGGCCCCGCTGCAGGGGAGGCCCACTCACCCCCAGCCATGTGCCTCGCCAGGCCCAGAGCATCCCCTGTGCCTCTTGTCACCCATCACCCCAGTCTGAGCCCTGTCCAGGGGGAAGGCTCCCTCAGAGGCTGGTGTGCCACTTTGCCCCGGCTATCCTGGGAAGATCATACACCGAAGCCCCCCTGGGCCCCTTCTGCAAGTTGGGCCCTGAGCCACCCTTTCCCTGGATGCCTGGTCCATCATGCTCTGAATAAACACCTGTACATGAGCCTCCTTCAGCCAGGACTGAGCCCCGTCCCCCTTCCCCCCACTGCAGCACCTCTGACCCGCATCACACCCTGACCCTGCTCTCCAGCAGGGCCTGTGGCCTCCAGTCTAGCTCAGGCCAGGGAGACTTGGGGAGTGGGTGGGGGAACTCGGGCAGGACTGAGCTCCTGTGGCAACAGCCTCCTCATGGTCTGTGACCAGGCTCAGAGCCCTCTGGCTATCTGCAGAGAGCCCAGAGGGAAATGGCCAGTGAGAAGAGCTCAGAGGGCCCCCACCTACCCCTCCACAGCAGGGCCACGTACCTGTCTCGCTGGGGCGGAAAAAGCCCTGCAGGATGTAGCGGTCAGGGAAGAGGACCCTCAGAACCACCTAGGCCAGGACAAGTGGAACGGCCATCAGGGACTGTCAGAGTTCAGACTTGGCACAGGGAGATGCCCCCATCAGCCCCCAACCCGAGCAGTGTCAGCTGCCCCCCAGTTTAGCAGAGCCAAATCCCAGGCTGGGGACAGAGATGGCCAAGCCTGTGTGCACACACATGCATGCTAAGAGCAGGTGTTTGCTTTGAAACCTGTTGTCTTAGCACTGCAGAAAAGAATTTCACCATCAAACGCAGGCGCCTGGCTGGTCAGGCAACAGACCATGGCTGCACAGGCCTCCCACCTTCCACGAGCCCAGCATGAGCCCTGGTGGCCTGCTGGCCACGTGCTGAGACATCCCTGCAGGGGGGCCACAGAAGGCCCTGCTCAGACAGCTCCCCGCCCCCCTTACCTTTGGGTAGCGCTCAAGTTTCTCCTTCATCTGAGCTTCCCTGAAGGCCTTGGTCACCAAGGGGGCTTCTTCCAGGCGTTTCCTGTGGCAAGAGGGGCGGAAAGTCCAGGTCTCCCCAGTCAGAACAGAGCCCCTCAGGAGCCACTGTGGGTTTCTGGCACCCGACCCACAGAGGTTTTGCTAAGGGCATGGGTGCCAGGGCCCTGGCCAATGCCCAATCCTGGCAGCCCTGTGCACCCTGGGGAAGACCGACCGGACCAGCAGCCAGAGGCAGAACCCGCTTGGGGCAAACCATGGAGAAAAGACAAGATGCTGAGGGGCTGGGTCACCCACCGCTCACTCTTGAGCTGGGCCAGGCGTCTCCTCACGTCATCCACAGTCACCTCGAAGAACTCATCTGGCAGCTCTGCTGGCCAGGCCTGCAGCAGGTCCTCCAGGTCAGGGTGGCAGACCACAGGGTCTCGGTCCACGGGCTGTGGGCAAGGGGCCTCAGCTGACCTGGGTGTCCTGGGGCTCTTGGCCATGTGCCCTCTCTCCGTCTCTGCCCACCCCTCCCAGCCCACCTTGCCAGCACAGGGCCAGGGAAGCCTGGAACAGAGGACCAGGGGACAAGCCCAGACAAGCTCCTTCAGGGCTGAGCCCCGTCCCCTCCCCCACTGCAGCACCCCTGACCCCCATCACACCCTGCTCTTGCTCTCCGGCAGGGCCTGTGGCCGCCAGGCTAGCTCAGGCCAGGGAGTCCTGGGCAGTGGGTGGGGGAGCTCGGGCAGCTCCCCTGCACACTTTCTGCTTCAGTGGGGGAACCCCAAGATTAGGAATCCATTATGGAACAACACCCCTGTTCTTGGCCACGTCAGGGGCTCCACAGAGGGGAGGCGCAGTGACAGTCACCAAATTAGAGTGTTGGCAAAAACCCCAGCAGCTGTCCCCGCTGCCCTCTCAGCCACAGCCCATGGCCAGGCTGACTCCATCTCTCCCTCCCCTGGGGAACAAGCCAACCCTCCCTCTGCCCACCCTGGGGACAGAGGAAGGGACAGCGTCACTCCTAATTGGCATCAACAGCAATGAAAATTACAAGGCAGACCCGCTCCATTTGCGGTGCTCTGGGGGGGTAGGACACCTCCCGGGGGCAGAGGCCACCCCACAGAGCCAGGCTTGACCGAGGTGCCCAGCTGGGCCAGCAGGGCCCATAGTGATCCTGTCCTCTCCCACACAGAACAACAGAGATATCGGAGAGGGAGGTGGCCCTAGGAACCTACCCTCTGCTCCTGCCCTGTATCACAAGGGCCCCTATGGTCCCCAAGTTGGCCTGGGACCCCCTTCTACTCCTCCAACACCTGGGGATGGGATGGCAGACTCTGGGAATGGCACCTCCTTCCTCCCTTCCTGCAGCCCTCCAGCAGCTGGGCCAAGCCCTGGTCCCATGGCCCTGAAGGTGTCCTTCCAGGCCCACAGGCTGGTCAGCCCTGCACAACATTTGGGCACCAGCACCCTCAACACATCCACACTGGGGGACAGCCCGACACACACCTGTTCCTGGTGTCTCGGGCCTACACCCAGATCCTGCACATGGACGCCAGGTCCCTGTGGCCCACTAATCATATAGCTATGTCATGCCTCAACCAAGGGCTGCAGCCAGGAAGCCCCTCTGCTTGGGTCACAGCCTTGGAAGAATGGCCAAAGGAGCTGGCTGAGGCCCAGGCAGGGACCCGTACCTGGCTGACCAAGGCTCCAGGGGCTGCCCCTTCCGAGCCACGGCCACGCTGCAGCAGCCGCAGGCGGTCTTACGCCTGAACTCTTTACTAGCTGCCAGGCACCAGGTGCCCTGTGGCCAGTGTCTGCATTCCAGCAGGGCCGTGAGCTCGCTGGGGCCCCAGGAGAGGGCAGGCAGGACATGGATGGGCCCAGAGCCAGGAGCCTCCACATCCAGGTCTGGCCAGTCCAGGCTGAGATCCTGATGCAGATGTGGCCTCCAAGCCCCAAGCTGAGGGGCAGGTTCTGGTGGCCTGATCCAGTCCCTCCTCTGGAGGGTCCAGCCCAGACCCAGAGGATCTGAGTCCACACTGGCTGCAGCTGGCAGGTGACACAGTGATGGCGCCACACCAACACTGGCCACTCAGACAGGCCCCTGTGCCCAGAACTCAGCAACAAACAGCAGAAGTCAGAGGCCAGCAAAGCCAATCCCAAGAAGGGCATGCCATCCTGGGGCATCCAAAAAGGACAGTGGGTTACAAACACAACCACACCCTGGGAAGTACAATGACCCCGAGTTTTACAGTCCCCACTGCTGGTCAGGGTCACAGGGGCAATAGCCACCTGCTTCATGCTGCAGGGGCCACTGCATTTCCGAGCAAAAATAAAACTGACAGAAATTCTTGTTTCAGACCCACCCTGGCCTCCCAGAGTCCCACTCTGCTCAGGAAGACTGTCTATCCAACAGGACCAAGAGCCAGGGTCCTGCTCAGGGCCAGAACAAGAGGATGATCGACGGATTTCCCGGGCCCCTTGCACACTGGCTTTCAAGGGCTACAGGAGCAAGGTGCCCGTGGGAGCCTGCTGGGCGAGGTTGAAGCTGCATGAGCAGCTGCGGACGGGGCCAGATATCCCAGGAGCACTGGTGGCGTCTGTGGCTGGGCTGATAAGAAATGTCACTTTGCCACCAAATGGCAGTGGGAGAAGCCAAAGCACTTATGGAGAGTGGAGAGACCATGGCCTGCGGCCAGCCCAGGAGTTCCCACCACAGGGAGGGCCCTGGCGGACATCTCAGTATGGGAAGGGGGAAGCAGGCTGAGCACCATCTCGAGTGCCCGGCCCTGCTCACTCAGGACGCTTTGCCCAGCGCCCGCTCTATACTGCTGTTCCGTCGGCATCCACAGTTCCACACGTGGCTCCTGCCCAAGGGGACTGTGGAGATGGTTCTGGACGGAGATCAGGTCTAGGGAGGAGACACCCCAGCACAAGAGAAGATTTATGGTGGTACCATGGGGACCATCAGAGGTGGCTTGAGGGGCCTCCAGGAGGGCCTGATGTCCAAAGGCAGGTAGCCTTCCGGCTGGTGGGGACAGAGGAAAGGTGTAGGTTCTGCTGTCCCTGTGGCCAGGACAATGCTGAAATGAGAGATGCAAAGGGTAGTGCAAAGGCAGCGCAGGAGCGCAGGCCCCTCCTCTGCCCGCAGCTTGTTTGGGAGGGCTGCGGAGATCTCCATTTCCACCTGGCTGAGGCTGGGAGCGGGATCCAGGCCAGTAAGAGCTCTTGGTGGCTGCAGGGAAGGGCGTGGGCAGGAGGGGCAGCGCCCAGGCCACCAGGCTCTCAGACGAGCAGTGGTACAAGGTGAAACTTTTTTGAAGAGCCCAGGGGCTTGGTGTGATTTCTCTCCCCACAAAGATGGACTCTCCAGAGGCTGCAGGGACCCAGCCAGGTGGGCAGATCCCAGAGCGCCTGCTTCAGATGCCTCTCTGCAGCCAAGGTGGCTCCCATGGTGTCCAGGATCCACCTGCTCACCAGAGGACAGTTTCTGACCCTTGGCGGGGACATGGCACCAGGCTGGTTTGTGTCTCACGCGTCTCTGGGCCCAACTTGTGGAAGAAGTTGCCTAGGCCCTCAGAATCATATCCTCGTGGTCAAAACCAGCCAGAAGCAGGTGTGGGAGGTCCTCAGGGGCAATGGGACCAGGCGGCCCCAGGCTTTTATCTTAAGTGATAAAAACTCCACAGAATTGCTGGGAGACACATGCACTCGCGTCCACGTCTACGTCCCGCCCTGTTTGTCCTCTCACGCCTGTGCGTGGGATGCCATGCTTCCTGTACCGCCCTGCAGTGCTTTTTTTTTTTTTTTTTTTTTTTTTTTTTGCACTCGCGCCAGGGCCTCCAGCAGCAGTGCCTCAGTGCCACAGCCCCTCCTGGACGTCCCTCTGTCTCCAGGTAATCTGTGCCGAGCCCTGCAGTTGCCACCCTCCCCACCTCCTGAGGCAGACGTCTAACTGGCCAGGGAGGAGCTCACTGGTCTGGATGGGGGGCCCCGAAGGTTGTTAATGCAGTAATACTACCCATCCGAGGGGAGGCGACTGGCCTCGTCAGGCCATCCTGTTGGAATGAAGGGACTGTGGAGGTGGGGTGAGGCTGGAGAGGGGCCACAGGGTTGCCCTGAAAGGTGCCTCTGCCCTGGGCCCCGCCCCTGGCTTCCCTCTTCCCAGTGCCATGAGTGCCGCAGCTTCTTCCTCCGTGCACTTCCCCGTGTGGTCCTCGCCTCGGGCCCAGAGCAATGGGCTCGGCCAGTTGTGGACCGAACCTCTGAAACCACGAATCAGCATGAACTTCCTCCTCTAAGTGGTTCTTGTAGGGTATTTTAAAAAGAAATAAAACCTCACTAACACAGTGCCGACCAAGTCCCAATCCCCTGAATGGGTTCCAGACCTGGGCCCTGCAGGAGATCACAGGTCCACGGGAACCTCGATGTGCTGAGGAAGGCTGAGGGAGGGGCTTCTGACTGCTGGTTTCCACAGGTCACGCCTCCCGCGCTGCTCCAGAGGCCTCCCGGCAGCCCCACGAATGTCAGCACCTCCACCCAGAACGTGCACTGGCCTGCACTCAGAGCCCAGTCAGCTTCCAAGGACACCACCTTCCGGTCCAACCCCTCTGTGTTAGGAGACCTGGTCTCCTCACTGGTGCCCACGTGCTACAGCCAGAGGAGGGGCAGGAGGACAAACGGACCTGTCACAGTGGAGCCAGTGAGGGGCCAGCTCCGAGGCCTAAGTGTGCTAGGCCTAAGCATGGAGGCGTGTGATGGGCAAGGAACTGAGGTCAGAGGGAGCAGCTGGCCAGCAGGGGGGAGCTCCATGGGTGGCCAGCCTCACTGCGGTCAACAGGCCATGAACCCCAGACTTAGGAGGGAACCCCCTCGATCAAGTGGTCCAGGGAACCTTGTTTCCTGCAAACTCAGAGCCCTGGTAGACTTCCAGGCCACAGCCTCCAGTGAGGGCCACTGAGAGAGAAACTGGAAACGAAGCCAGGTGGGCAGGAGAAACACCAGGAGGGGCCAAGCAGAGCGGAAGGCAGGGGCCCCAGCGGACTGCAAACGTGGTGACAATGGATGCCCAGGCAGCCCAGAGGAGGGCAGAGACGACACTTAGGAGGGACACAGAGTCTCCGGGGGAAGATGGGGTACCACTGTGGGCAATGTCCAGCCACCCCCGGCCAGCTGGCAATGCAGACGCAGTGACCACCCCAGCAGGCAGACCCCAGATAAGGAGGCCCACACAGCCTGGTGTGCAGGGTCTGGTGGGCACCCAGTCCTGGGGCTCTGCTGCCAGGATCTCCCAGGACACGATGGGGAACACCTGTACACTGCCTGAGGCCATTTCACTCCCAAATCCCAACTTTCCACAAGGACTTGGGTCCCTTGTGCTCTCCCTCAGCCCCCCGCCTCAGCCCCCTGTCCAAACGGGTTCTGGTGAGAGGGAATGCGAAGCCTTTTC